CTCTGTCTCTGTCTTTCCGGCGAGTGCACGTGCCCCATAGCAAAAAAAAAGAAAGAAAAGAAAAAGAAAAAAGCCAGTCCAATCCTTTTGAGTGTTTGAAACTCCAGATAAAGCTGCTTTACTCTTTCATTCTCTTCCATGTCTCTCTGACAGCTTCACATTTTTGCCCATATTTCTAACTCTATTGATATATTGTCCCAAGTCCGTCTGGGACTAAATATGTATATATTTATATTTGCTATAGGGCACATGTGCTTGCCTGAGAGAGACACAGAGAGAGAAAAGGAGGGAGGGAATATGAGAAATCACCCCCCAAGGAAGATAACCATGCCACAATCCCTTCTCCTCTGTCTTCCTCTCAGGATTTTGGACACACATGCACACACGCCAGGCATGTTTTACAAGCTGCCACATTCAGTACTTAAGTCCTGCAGTAAGCCATGTGGGATTCAGTCACCTTAACTTTCCTGCCACCTCCTGGCCCCACCTCCGGCATTCTTCCTGGGCATGTCCACACCTACCCTTGCCTTCTTTTGCATATGTTTTTCCATGTTGTGTTACCACATTTCCCCATTCTTTCCAACCTCCCAACACCATGTCCACCCAATGCACTGTCCTTGCTTCCTTTCCCATCTCACAGCCCCTGTCTCTGTTGCCAGGTGGAGTATCCCTACGGAGAGCTCATCATCTCCCTGGGCTTCTTCCTTGTCTTCCTTTTGGAGTCACTGGCATTGCAGTGCTGTCCGGGAGCTGCTGGAGGATCAACAGTACAGGAGGAGGAAATGGGTGACGCGCATGTCCTTAAACTGCACAGCCATGGGCCTCTGCCCTCATCATCACGGGGTTCCCTCCGAGCCCTTGTGCTCTTACTCTCACTCTCCTTCCACTCAGTGTTCGAAGGTCTAGCTGTGGGGCTGCAGCCAACAGTAGCCATGACGGTGCAGCTCTGCCTTGCTGTCCTGGCTCATAAAGGGCTGGTGGTGTTCGGTGTAGGACTGCGGCTGGTGCAGATGGGCACTAGATCCGGATGGGTTGTGATCTCCATTCTGTCATTAGCGGTCATGTCCCCCCTGGGGTTAGGCCTAGGGATGGCTGTCGCTGGAGGGCACTCTGAAGTGGGGTGGGGCTTAGCCCAGGCAGTGCTGGAGGGTGTGGCAGCTGGCACCTTCCTCTATGTCACCTTCCTAGAAATTCTGCCCTGGGAGGGACCTACCTATGATGATATGGCTTGGGCCCTCAGACAGTTCTTTGCTGAGACCAAGTGAAATTCACAGCATCAGCCCATGGACTGGACCCCAGCTTTCCCCACGTGAGATCCCATTTCTCACAGGACTGAGAAAAGGATTTTTACTTCAAGTGCCTATTAACTAGAGAGTCGGTAAAAAACAGCATTCTACATTTGACTCTTGCCCTATTTACACTCCCATATGGAATAAATGTTTTACCCTCCCCATCAGCCGTAATGTATTGCATATCTCCTGGTTGTCGAGAAGCCACCTGGTTCAAGAAGTTTAGAATAGGTAGTGGAAACATTGAGTATTGGTAGCAGTTATTTCTTTCTCAAATCAGGGACTCTAGCCATTCCCTCAGTTACAAGCTGTGCCTTCCAGATGTAGGAGTGCTACCGAAATTCCAAACACCCTTTCCCACCTGATCCAGAGGAGTTGAGAAAATGAGCCAGAGATCCCAGCACTTAGAAGGAAAGCTGGTAAGTCACAGAAACCAGGAGGATTGATTCTCTTCCCTGAGATACCATACCCACCCACTCCCAGTACCTTTTGTCAGCCACCACAAGTTGCCTGGATGAGCCTGAAGGAGCCCATTTCCATCATGTTCCTTTTTCACACTGACCCTCGGTGGCCTCAGGGACACTATTGCTCTTCTTTGAGCCTATCTCTTTCCAGCTGTCTTGTGCTGAGGGATTACACAGCAGGGTGTTTGGAGAGGGAGATCGGCGCCAGGTCAGTGCCTAGGGTGATTACCTTGACTCTGCCCAGACTGAACAATGGCTTCCTTTCTGCCTGTCTTCCAGATCGTCTTTCAGTTTGAGTAACCCCTACAGTATGATGCTTCTCTTAAAAACTACAGAGATTAGGGCCAGCCAGTGGCAGGATCCCATGTGGCCAACTGCACAGTTCTAGCCCCCAACCCAGTGGCAGCTTGAAAAACATGGGCATATGTGCATTGCATGCCCAAAATCTCAAGTGAAGAATGGAGGGGAAGGAATTGGGGCCAT